TGAATTCTATCAAACACTTAGAGAAGAACTAACACCCATCCTTCTCAAACTCTTCCAAAAAATCACAGAGGAAGGAACACTCCCAAACACATTCTATGAGGCCACCATAACCCTGATACCAAAACCAGACAAAGATACTACAAAAAAAGAAAATTAAAGACCAATATCACTGATGAATATAGATGCAAAAATCCTCAACAAAATACTAGCAAACAGAATCCAACAAAACATTAAAAGGATCATACACCATGATCAAGTGGGATTTATTCCAGGGATGCAAGGATTCTTCAATATATGCAAATCAAACAATGTGATACACCATATTAACAAATTGAAGAATAAAAACCATATGATCATCTCAATAGATGCAGAAAAAGCTTTTGACACAATTGAACACCGATTTATGATTAAAAACTCTCCAGAAAGTGGGCATAGAGGGAACCTACCTCAACCTAATAAAGGCCATATATGACAAACCCAGAGCAAACATCATTCTCAATGGTGAAAAACTGAAAGCATTTCCTCTAAGATCAGGAACAAGACAAGCATGTCCACTCTCACCACTATTACTCAACATAGTTTTGGAAGTCCTAGCCACGGCAGTCAGAGAAGAAAGAGAAATAAAAGGAATACAAATTGGAAAAGAAGAAGTTAAAACTGTCACTGTTTGCAGATGACATGATACTATAAACAGAGAATCCTAAAGATGCCACCAGAAAACTACTAGAGCTAATCAATAAATTTGGTAAAGTAGCAGGATACAAAATTAATGCACAGAAATCTCTTGTATTCCTATACACTAATGATGAAAAATCTGAAAGAGAAATTAAGGAAACACTCTCATTTACCATTGCAACAAAAGGAATGAAATACCTAGGAATAAACCTACCTAGGGAGACAAAAGACCTGTATGCAGAAAACTATAAGACACTGTTGAAAGAAATTAAAGATGATACCAACAGATGGAGAGATATACCATGTTCTTAGATTGGAAGAATCAATATTGTGAAAATGACTCTACTACCCAAAGCAATCTACAGATTCAATGCAATCCCTATCAAATTACCTATGGCAGTTTTTACAGAACTAGAACAAAATAATCTTAAAATTTGTGTGGAGACACAAAAGACCCCGAATAGCCAAAGCAGTCTTGAGGGAAAAAACGGAGCTGGAGGAATCAGACTCCCTGACTTCAGACTATACTACAAAGCTACAGTAATCAAGACAATATGGTACTGGCACAAAAACAGAAATATAGATCAATAAAACAGGATAGAAAGCCCAGAGATAAACCCACACACCTATGGTCAACTAATCCATGACAAAGGAGGCAAGGATATACAATGGAGAAAAGACAGTCTCTTCAATAAGTGGTGCTGGGAAAACTGGACAGCTACATGTAAAAGAATGAAACTAGAACACTCCCTAACACCATACACAAAAATAAACTCAAAATGGATTAGAGACCTAAAGGTAAGACCAGACACCATAAAACTCTTAGAGGAAAACACAGGAAGAACACTCTTTGACATAAATCACAGCAAGATCTTTTTTGATCCACCTCCTAAAGTAATGGAAATAAAAACAAAAATAAACAAATGGGACCTAATGAAACTTAAAAGCTTTTGCAAAGCAAAGGAAACTACAAAGAAGATGAAAAGACAACCTTCAGAAAAAGCAAAGGAAACTACAAAGAAGACAAAAAGACAACCTTCAGAATGGGAAAAAATATTTGTAAATGAATCAATGGGCAAAGGATTAATCTCCAAAATATATAAACAGGTCATGTGGCTCAATATCAAAAAAACAAACAACCCAATCAAAAAATGGACAGAAGACCTAAACAGACATTTCTCTAAAGAGGACATACAGATGGCCAAGAAGCACATGAAAACCTGTTCAACATCACTAATTATTAGAGAAATGCAAATCAAAACTACAATGAGCTATCACCTCACACCAGTTAGAATGGGCATCATCAGAAAATCTACAAACAACAAATGCTGGAGAGGGTGTGGAGAAAAGGGAACCCTCTTGCACTGTTGGTGGGAATGTAAATTGATACAGCCACTATGGAGAAAAGTATGAAGGTTCCTTAAAAAACTAAAAATAGAATTACCATATGACCCAGCAATTCCACTACTGGACATATACCCAGAAAAAACCATAATTCAAAAAGACACATGTACCCCAATGTTCATTGCAGCACCATTTTCAATAGCCAGGTCATGGAAGCAACCTAAATGCCCATCGACAGACGAATGGATAAAGAAGATGTGGTACATATATACAATGGAATATTACTCATCCATAACAAGTAACGAAACTGGGTCATTTGTAGAGACGTGGATGAATCTAGAGACCATCATACAGAGTGAAGTAAGTCAGAAACAGAAAAACAAATATCGCATATTAACGCATATATGTGGAACCTAGAAAAATGGTACAGATGAACCGGTTTGCAGGGCAGAATTAAGACACAGATGTAGAGAACAAATGTATGGACACCAAGGGGGGAAAGCAGCGGCAGGTGGTGGTGGTGGTGTGATGAATTGGGAGATTGGGATTGACATGTATATACTGATATGTATAAAATGTATGACTAATAAGAACCGGCTGTATAAAAAAATTAAATTAAATTTTAAAAAAATTATGTTTAAAGACATGCAGAAATGCTCCAGCAGCTTATTTATCAGAAGTTGCAAGTAACTTTCTCCTACTTTCTTCACTTTATCTTTATTTAAGGGTAGTGAAGACACATTCCTCTAGAGGATTGTTTCAGAGAATCCCCTTCTTATTTGTCTCATTTCCAAGTAAACATTAGTTTCCAGATGAACTAATGGGTCTAACAGGAATTTAAAGGTCTTCAAAGCACTGATTAAAGGGGACTGACCCATTCAGGGGATTGACCAGACCATGTTCTGCTCTCCACTTCTAGGTAATGATTAACTGGAGACCTTCCCCAAGCAATGGACATCCTTTGATGTCCTCTATTAAGTGATCTCCTGATTGCGGTGGGGGGTAGGGTGTATTCCTTTGCTTTCCCTTGATGGCGCTTACTCAAATCTTACCAAGCATCTCTTGCCCAGACTCCAGGGCAGAAAACTCACGAACTGCCTGGAGGTAACATCTGAAAAGAAGAACTGACTCAATAATCCTCCTGCGTATGCACGCACGCGTGCACACACACACACACACACACACACACACACACACACTAACTTAAACTCCATTTGGCAGTTTTCTAAAAGGTGGGATATGACCACATAACTCCACTCTTTATCAACCTCCACCTATATTACTCATGAAAGGAAAGACAAACCAAATCTATTGAGAAAAAGGCACACAATTCAATTAAAAAAGAAAAAAAGACTTAAGTAGCTGCTTCACAAAACAGGAAATCCTAATTGCCAATGAAAAAGTACTAAATCTCTTTAGTCATCATGAAAGTGCAAATTTCAACCACAAGGTTATATACTATACTGGTACTGAAACAGAAAGCAAAGAAGGAAAGGAGGGAGGGAGGGAGGGAGGGAGGGAGGGAGGGAGGATGAAGGAAAGGAAAGGAAAGGAAAAGAAAAGAAAAAAAGGAGAAAGAAAATACCAAATGTTGATAGAGATGCAGAACAACTGGAATGCTCATACACTGTTCGTGAGGTTGTAAATCAGTATAACCACTTTGGAAAACAACTTGATAGTATCTAGTAAAGTTGAAGATATACATACCCAGTGATGTAGCAATTATATTCCTGGGCATATATCCTAGAGAAATGTGTATACATACAAACCAGAATATGTATATGAAAATGTCCATAGGAAGCAATCTATTTTCAATAGAATGGATAAAAATATAGAGTATATTCATACAGGAATATCACTCAACAACAAAATTAATGAATTTCAACTACATGCAATAATATGAGTGACTTACAACGTAATGGTGAGTAAAAAAGAAAAAAGCAAGATACAAAAGAATATATACAGTCTGATTTATATAAAGTTCTAAAACAGGCAAACAATAAGTGGTGCTGGGAAAGATAAAGATACTGCACACATATATGGTATAGCTATAACGAAAAGCAAGAAAACAAAAAGAAAAGTAAAAGAAAGGTAACAGTTACCTTTTGGGAGAGGAGAGAAGTTGGGATCAGAAATTGATAAGTGGATTGGGATGAAGTGCTCATGACATTTAATTTCTTAACCTTAGTACCAGTTACATGGGTGTTTGCTTTATAGTAAATATTTGTTAAACTGTGCCAATAAGTTGATGCATATTTCTGAAAAAATGTGCAATCTTTTACAATAATACTGTTTTAGGGACTTTCCTGGTGGTGCAGTGGTTAAGAATCCACCTGCCAATGCAGGGGACACGGGTCCAAGCCCTGGTCCGGGAAGATCCCACATACCGTGGAGCAACTAAGTCCGTGTGTCACAACTACTGAGCCTGCGCTCTAGAGCCCGCAAGCCACAACTACTGAAGACTGTGCCCCTAGAGCCCATGCTCTGCAACAAGAGAAGCCACCGAAATGAGAAGCCTGCGCACCTCAACGAAGGGTAACGCCTGCTCGCCGTAACTAGAGAAAGCCTGAGCACAGCGACGAAGACCCAATGGAGCCCAAAATAAATAAATTTATAAAAAACATAAAAATAAAAAAAATTAAAATAAAACTGTTTTAAAAGGTTGGGAGGAGTGGCAAGCTAAATAACACCACTGATCGTCTCCCTCAACCTCCTACCCAGATTGTTTATTTATTTTGATGTTTATTACTTAGAATACCATTTCTTATCTGGGGAGTGCTGTCTTTGACAAGAAATAAGAACTTTAGAGGTGATTTTTATCCAATAGATTTCCTATACATTTAGAGGAAAGCAGAAAGAAAGAGAGCTTAGCAGAATTAAAAAAAGAATTAATTCTATTATTGTGCAGCCTAAACAGTCTAATGCTCATTTCACTGCAAAGTCTACGACGTAATACATACCTATGTTCTCTGAGTCTCCAACACTGGCCGTAAGGGAAGATAAGTAACTGCCTTACCTCACCTAGGTGGGGAGCGAACACATGCAAGTAAGGCATCCAGAGCATGTACAGCTTCATTCAAATCTTGTCTGAAAATAAAATGACTTCACAAAAAAAGGAAACTATGTAGAAAAAAAAGACACAAAATGTCTTTGTCACTGTCAAAAAATGTATTACTCATTTATATCAGGGACTCAAATAAACCATCACTCACTCATTCATTTGTTCGTTCATTCATTTAATAACATTTATTGAGCCTCTGCTACTGTTAGGCATTGTGGGAACTGAGTTAGACAAGGTTTCTGTTCTGAAAGGGCTTATAATTGAGTACAGAGGAGAACATTTGCACACACTTCTCTACTTAGCTCTCAACTGTTGAAACTTAACCAAGTGCCAAACACTAAATGCCAAATCATTATTATCTCATTTAATCCTCATATCAATCCTTTCATGAGTATTGCAGATGTGGAAACAGACACAGAGAAATTAATAAATTTACCCCAGGGAAAACACCCTGTAGGCTAGAATCTGGGCTTGTCTATCCGACCCCAAAGCTCATGCACTACACAGGGTATACTGCTTCTCCATACAGAACACAAGAGAGAAGAAGCTAAATGCTGTAACATACAAACCAGATACTGAAGGATATTTGCTTCCTCAGTGCTGAAATTTGTTACTACAGCATGTATTACTTAAGTAATTTTTAATGAAAAAAAATTGTAAAGCTTTGGGACATTGGTCCAACTTCAGTTTTGATTACCTTAACATGAAACATAATTTTCCAAAATCTTAATTTAGGAACATTTAAAGTGGGGAGATAAATTCAACTAAAACAATTCTTGAATCATCAAGTTTTTGTAAAAGGTAAAATTTGGGATGCTACGATTGCATACTCTCACCAAGAGATTATCACACTAAGTGAAGTAAGTCAAACAGAGAAAGACTAATACCATATGATATCACTTATACATGGAATCTAGAAAAATGATACAAGTGAACTTATTTACAAAACAGAAACAGACTCACAGAGGTAAAAAACAAATAAATGGTTACCAATGAGGCAAACAGGGGCAGAAAGGGGGATAAATGAGGAGTTTGGGATTAGCAGATACAAACTACTATATATAACATAGAGAAACGACAAGATCCTACTGTATATAGCACAGGGAACTATACTCGATATCTTGTAATAACCTACAATGAAAAAGAATATGAAAAAGAATGCATGTATATTTATGTATAACTGAATCACTTTGCTGTACACCAGAAACTAATACATTGTAAATTAACTATACTTCAATTTTTAAAAAACTGCACACTTGACATACTTCAAATTTTCTTTCTGATTCCTGAGTAGGGTTTTGTATTCCTGCTTCCCCTGTTGGAGTTCTAATTTTAAAACTAACACTTGTGATTAAGGACAAATAATTAGGTCCCTCTTTTGCTTTATTACCACCACCTGCAAAGTGCCCTTGAAGCCTGCGTGAAGGAAAAGGAGGAGATTCTAGGCCGCGCAATGCAAGGGGCAGTCCTACTGCTCCTCTCTCTGGTCTGGGAGGGACCGGCAGCCTCCTCCCACCAGGCGCAAGTGGCACAGCCTGAGGCTGGCAGCTGACAGTGTGGGAGGACTCACGGCCTAGGAACGGTCTCTGTGAGCCTGCTGTCCCACTCACTACAAAAACGGGGAGCTTGTACAGCTGACATCTAGAATCTTGTCCATTCACCCCCAGCTTTCTCTCGCCGTGTCTCATTGGTCCAGCCTGACCTTGATGGTCAGATTCTAGAAGCACACTATCCAACATACGAACATTCCCACAAACAGCTTAAGCAAAACAAAACCCACAAGTGTTCATGGGGCTTCCCTGGTGGCGCAGTGGTTGAGAGTCCGCCTGCTGATGCAGGGGACGCAGGTTCGTGCCCCGGTCTGGGAAGATCCCACATGCCGCAGAGCAGCTGGGCCCGTGAGCCATGGCCGCTGAACCTGCGCGTCCGGAGCCTGCGCTCCGCAATGGGAGAGGCCACAACAGTGAGAGGCCCGCATACTGCAAAAAAAAAAAAAAAAAAATACAAGTGTTCTCTCAACTCTTTCCCCCACCAAAAAAAAAGTCATTTTGCCTATATTTCTCACATATTTTTCAGTAATTCAGAAGAGAGGGTGAAAACAATTAAAAGGAGGCAACCTGAAAAATAAGAAGGTGGGGGGAGAGGCAAGGTTTTCCTCACATTCTATCATAATTGAGCACTTAGAAGATTGAGCAAAAATATTACGGGAATTGAGGAGGTAGAGATAGAGGAAGAGGTGTTTCACTTGGACTTTTGAAGACTGGGCATGGCAGGCAGAAGGGGGCATAGGGGCATTACAACAAGAAAGGAAAGTACAAGGCCTGTTTGAGAAACCTTGAAAAGCCCAGTTTGACTGTGACCTAGTACAGGGGGGAGAATAAAAGGAAATAAAACTAAAGTCTGAACAGAGGAGGAGCCCTAATGGTAGATACTGAAAATCAGCCTAAGGCACTCAAAAGAACTCAGAAAGTCATTTGTTAGAAGTGCACAATCTAGTGGCTTTTAGTACATTTACAAAGTTGGGCATCCATCACAACAATTAATTTTAGAACATTTTCATTACCCTAAAAAGAAACCCACATCCCTAACCGTTACCTCCTCAATACCCCTTCCCCCTCCAGCCTTAGATGACCACTGATCTACTGTCTGACTACAGATTTGCCTATTTTGAACATTTCATATAAATGGAATCATACAATATATGGTCATTTGGAACTGTCTTCTTTCACTTAGCACAATGTTTTCAAAGTTCATCCATGTTGTAGCATGTATCAGTATGTCATTTCTTTTTATTGATGAATAACACATCATTGTGTGCATATACCAAATTCTACTTATCCATTCATCAGTTGATGGACATTTGGATTGTTTCCACATTTTGGCTATTGTGAATAATGCTGCTCTGAACACTGGGATACCAATTTTTTTGTGGGTGCAGGTTTTCAATTCTCTTGGGTATGTATACCTAGGAGTAGAATTGCTGGGTCATATAGCTCCATGTTTCTTTTTGAGAAACTGCCGGAACATTTTCCAAAGCTATTTCACTATTTTACGTTCCCACCAACAATGTATGAGGGTTCCAGTTTCTCCATACCCTCACCAACACTTATCTTTTTATTATTATTATAACCATCCTAGTAGGTATAAAGTGATATTTCACTGTGGTTTTGATTTGCATTTCCCTGACGACTAATGATGTTGAGCATCTTTTCATGTGCTTATTGAGTATGGTGTATCTCCTTTGGAGAAATGCCTCTTCTTTGCCTGTTTTAAACTGGGCTATTTGTCTTTTTATTATTAAGTTGTAATAGCTCTTTTTATATTCTAGATACTAGTCTCTTATCAGTTGTATATTTGAAAAAGTTTTCTTCCAATCTGTGATAAATGGGATGTCTTCGAGGCACAAAAGTTTTTAACTATAATGATGCCCAATTTATCTAGTTTTTCTTTTATTTCTTGTACTTTTATCTAAGAACCCATTGTCTAATCCAAAGTCACAAAGTTTACACCTGTTTTCCTCTAAGAACTTTATAGTTTTAGCTCTTACACGTAAGTCTTTGATCTTTCTTTTTTTTTTGGCTGCGCTGCACGACTTCCGGGATCTTAATTCCCCAACCAGGGATTGAACCCGCCCTCTCAGTAGTGAAAGCACAGAGTCCTAACCACTGGACCGCCAGGGAATTCCCATCTTTGATCCATTCTGAGTTAATTTTTGCTCATGGTATGAAGAGGCAGATCATTTTCTATCTTTAATCTTTTAAATTCATCAAGATGGGTTTTAGACAGAGCAACCTGTCAGGAATATGTAGAATAGATTAGTTTGATAGGAGACTAAAGGTGGGGAGGCTACTGGAGAAATCCAAATACATGGTAATAAAAGCAGCATAAATTAAAGACCTGAAGTAGGGGCTTAAGCATCAATTTTTTTTTTTTTTAAAGCTCACAGATGATTCTAATGTGCAGTCAGCTCTTAAAGGAAGAGGTAGAAAAATATATTGGAGAACAATGAATGATAGACAAATGCAAGAGGGTCCTTCTAAGTGGCTGTGTCTAAGCAAGGTTAGTCCTGGGGTCACTCTGGTCTGGACTGACTACACTCCTGGGAAAAGAAGAGGTGCAGCAGGACCTCTTAGAGAAGGGCTGGAAATGCCCATCAGTGAGTGAGCATACGCTGCTGAAATTTTAGAAAAAGCACCTCAGAATTTAATAAGTTTGAGTCCCTGCTTTAAATTACCTGTAAAGCACAATTTTCTCTTTTGTAATAGGTGAGAAGCGCTCATGCGTTAGACATCATCCTTATTTCATAAACAAGCAGCTGACTATCTCCACACATTTCCATCAGATGCATCTCTCACTACACTAACTGGTTTTCAACTTGGAGGAACTAGTCATGGAAATTCACCTGATGAGATGATGAAGTTTGATTAGGAAGTTCAGTCACAAAGGAAAGAACTGTCTTTTGGGAAATGCTTTCTCCATTCAGAAACAGGAGACTAATTGTAAGAAAACACCTTAGCAAATTAAACTGAGGCATTAACATATTGGGTAAATTAGCATTTCCACCCTGAGGAAGCTCAAAGTAGTTTCGGCTGACCTTTGCGAACTTGGTTAACCAACTCTGAATAGACTTTAATCCTACAAAGTCTAATTTAAAGGTTGCTTAGAATACATTGTAGACTAATTGAGTGACCCTGAACCCTGGTCTCTCATTTAGAATTATTTTTTGAGTTGTATGTATTTATTTTATTATTTTTTAATTAATTTTATTGGAGTATAGTTGCTTTACAATGTTGTGTTAGTTTCTGCTGTACAGCAAAGTGAATCAGTTATATGTATACATATAACCACTCTTTATTTTTATTTTATTTTTTTTGCGGTACGCGGGCCTCTCACTGTTGTGGCCTCTCCCGTTGAGGAGCACAGGCTCCGGATGTGCAGGCTCAGCGGCCATGGCTCACGGGCCCAGCCGCTCCGCAGCATGTGGGATCTTCCCGGACCGGGGCACGAACCCGTGTCCCCTGCATCGGCAGGCGGACTCTCAACCACTGCGCCACCAGGG